TACTACTACTACTATTTCTATTATCATTTTCATTGCTATTATCACATCCCTCTGTTTACTCTTCTGCTTGATTTCACCTGTTTTTGTTTTCCATCCTCACACCGTTCACCATCAATAGTTCCACTAAACCCCTTCTGTTATTCCAGTTTTTGCAAATGAAAATCAAAGTAGTTCATGTTGTAAACAAACAATTTCTCGAGCTGTCAATTTGTGTCGTAAATATGGGTTACAACAAATACTTCAAATTTTATAGTGGGTAATCAGCAACTGTTTATTCTTTTCTTTTTTCGGCATCCTCAATTTAAACATTGTAGGAGTAATAATACTACTTAAGAAAATTAAATTTCTTTTTCTTTTTTCATCTAAAGGATTTCACTAATACACCAACTTCCTTCAAAAATTCTTTACAATCATTTATCGTTCCCCAACTCTGCGCAATGTTTAGCAGAGCCCATATAATGTGTGCAACTAATTGGCCGTCTATCATATTTGTCTCTAAGGCATAATTCAATCAGTTGTTTGTGTCAAAACGTTTATCAGGTTTCCAACATTTTAGGGTTGTACTTGCAAAACAACGTTTATGCAAAGCTAAAAAGCTTAATCACTTGAGCAATGCCAAAGCAAAAATATTTAATAGTTGACGCTTCCGACCCAAATTTGGACATTTACGAGCCATGAATAACATCAAAATTACAGTGAGTAACAAGGAAGATGAAATAATTGGAGCTCTTTCAGAAAATCTGCTAGTATAGACACATATGGATCAAGAAAAAGTGTTGTAGAAGGATTTTCAGATGGCAACAAATTCGGTGCCAGACGAGCAGCCACGGAGCAGCAAGTTTTCACAAATACGACCTTTATGGTATCGCAGCAAATCAGGTCGACAGTCATCTTCGGGACCTTCGTTCCTGACATGTGTAATATAAGTCTATTGTTTCATCGAAGTTCCCAAAGGTTTTTTGATCCTAACTTTTTGTTTTTATATAATCCACGTTTAGTTAGCACTGCTCACCTTCTAACTGTCACTTCACTATTATTTCACCGCATATCTAATTATTAACTGATTAAAGAACTGACAAAAATTTCATGCTCAAATTACGGCACTCTATTCTCTTTTAAAAAAGCAAGTAATTTTCTATTTACAACCAAATAAACATTTCCATTTAGTTTTCTACAATATTTTTTGTAGACAAAATATTTGGAACACTAATTTTATAAGCTTGTTTCACTTCTGACCTCCAAAAAAAAAAACTCCCGTACATGAGACCAAAAGAGATGATCTTAATTAAACTAAGTTAGACAAAACCACTTTCCATTCATCTTCAACTAGGCAGTTCCACATTGTTCATATTAACCGACATAATACTTCCAAATGAAACTGATATTACTTTAGGAGACATATGTTACGATTTAATTTAAATTACTCTTTAAAATAATGCACATGAAGTGTTCGGAGAAGGGGCTTTTGATCTTTTCGTTTGGCTTTCGTCGCAAGCCAACTAGTTTTAACAGGCCTCAGTCCAGTCTTTATGTGCCCTTCCTAATCACGACTGTTATTGTAGTTTCGAAAACAGCTGTAAACTGTCTTTCAGACGTTGTTAATATTTCAGTAATGTAAATTCTTTTTTTTTTTTTAAATAGTAATATAATCTTCATGAAAAGCAGAAAAACACAATACACTTTATACTGATTATTTATTCGTCTAGAAGATGATGTCTGTTTATTGTTAATATAAAGTAGTACAGTTCGGAAACAAAAAGATACGTAAAGATTATTCATGTGTAGTGTTCAGGTTACTTTGTTTTCACAGTTATGCAACAGACCAAAATTTGTTTGCTCAGATTCTTTTGCGAAGCTTAATCGTGCGATCATTAATAAGCCAAATTTTTCTTTAAAAACTTTCAGGAAATGCTTGGAAACTTCGCTTGAAATAAATCATTCAAAAGTTTCACATACATTTTCCTAGCTGATGTCCTTTTACTAGTTTTACTTGTGGTGTGTTGAATATTAAATAAGTGAAATTACTGCTAACGTCACCGTTTGTGAATAATGCCATATCCTGGTTGTTATTGTCAGCAACAAATTTATAAATTTTGAACGTTGATAAATGTCTACAAATCTACAAAAAACTATTTGGAAGAATTTAATAAGTTTAAAACGCCGGAAATTGGCATTTCGGCTCCTAAATGCTTCATATCACGTGATCATACATTTTCATTGTTGGTGGCAGTTTAAGTCCATACGTCGTCCAGTAAGCAAAACGGAATAAAGAAAAATATCAGCAGACAGACTGATGCACAGCAAGCCGTTCCAGTTGGCTCTTAATAAGCAGATTACACAGTACGAGCTGCAAAGGCCCGATTTATGGTTGCATAAGTTGTCTCTAAACCGTGCATTCGTTAATCCATCCTGCAGTTCCACTCTTCACTGTTCAGAGAAGGAACAACTCAGCAGAGTAAATAAAGGAAAAAAAAGATGATGGACAGGACTGAACTAAAAAGGTAGCAACCGGACAAAAAAAGTTCCGAGGAGAGAGGTCCTAAACGGTGAAATCAGTTAATCAGTGATCGCCTCTGCAAGGACTACACGGCCAACAGCCGATATGAAAGCGACTGCTAAAGTTGGCGAATTTCCAGCCGCTTGATTTGGTCTTGAAGCAAATTTACCTTTTCACACGTAATGCTGAACTTTATTCATTCTGTCATTAAGCATCAGCGATGTGTGCAGCAGAGAGTCAGTCAGTAGCTGGCAAACACTAACAAATGAATTGTTTCTGTTCCTGTAGAATTGGCAGGTTGCCACTGTGACTGTTGTATTGGGTCGCTGACTGTGTGTAGTTGGTAATGTGGTTTCGTGTTGGAATTTTCAGATGAGTTGTCTTGTTGTTCCAGTGGCTTTTCGATTATATGTTTATGTCCATTTTTTCTTTCGACTCCATCTATGCTTATCAATACTATTTGTTTTATAAGGCGTAAGTGTCTCACTCTAAAGTGTTGGAGTGATTTTACAATAACTTTAAATTTGCACCTAAAAAATTCACTATTTTTTAAGTAATTTATTTACGTCTCTTAATTCCAATTTTTTTCTTTTCATCACGTTTTCTGTTTCCTTTTGTTGTATTTTTCGTTATTATCGTTGATAGGTAGAATTACAATGTGTATAACTCGGTGTTTCGGTTAGAAACAAACTTTTTAAAATAGCTGTAGTTTGGCGTTTTTGCTGTCAGTGGAATCGCGTTTGGTGTATCTTATTCTTTTGGTTTACTTATAGCCCTTATTTACTGAAATATTCGGGAACGCTAAGAAGAGTGACGACTATTTTGACTGAGACCTTGCGTCGGTTATAAGTTTACTTTTTGTTATAGGGTGGTCGAAAGCCGGGTCTTGCTAATGAGAGATGTCCTACAGAGGTACGAGATTAACTCAAGTCACTTTATCTAGTGTCCTGATAATGTGAAATTTTGAGCGTTTTTGCTATTTTTTATTTGCTCATAAACATATATGTTCAGGCACTTTATAAAAACAGTTGTGGTGAAATAATTTTATATTTCTCTTTAATCATACAGTATTTAATGCTCATAGTTGCAGTTCTAGGTTCAAGTAATGGGGCCAGCAGATATGGTGATGCTAATGATTTTATGGAACGTCAGAATGACGATTTAGTGGAGAAACTATCAAGTAAGGTTGCTGCTTTGAAGAAGATAACTATAGCTATCGGAGACGATGTGAGAGATCAGAACCGACTTCTAAATGAAGTGGTACCGTGTTTAGATGCTAATCTTTTGATATTTGGTTTGTGGCGTCTACTTTTTCTTTAACCTTTATGTTGAAGTATGACTTTTCTTGAAAAATTTATTGTAGGATTCTGAATTTGATGCTTCAAAAAGCTTATTAGGATCGACGATGAAAAGACTAGGGATTGTTGCTAGGTCAGGCGGTGAGTGTATAATTTTTTTAAAAGAATTATGGGTTTTCAGTCACTATTTCAAGTGTTTTATACTTTTAACGTTTGGCAAAAATTTGTATAATAGGTCTGCTTTTGGTTCCCTTTTCTCCAGTTTATTACAACCGGACTGAAACTCTTATTTTTCAAGAACTTTTATAAGAGCTAAATGAGTTTCAACCATGGTTTTTGCTTGTTTTATCAGCACGCTTTCGAGCTTCTTAAGCCATAATGTTGAGTTCACGTAATAAGATTTCTCTATATCCATCAAGCATATGAAAATCGTTTGCAGGCGGAAGTATGCTTTGTTATTTGGTTCTTTTCTCGCTGTTCGTTTTCTTTATTATTTATTATTTGGCTCGCTAATATCAACTGCGTCTTCGGAGCGCCTTGGATTTAGTGATCTTTTAAATTCTACAGTATGTTCAAAATTTTATTGTATATAATTGGTACTATTCTGGGCTGCTTCTGTTAATTATTATCCGTTTGGGTGAATTGTTACGGGGAATAAAATGTAGTAGTCAAAACTTTTAATACTGCGTCTATTAAGGGATTTAATTTTGTTTGATTTTTTACTAATTATTTGACTTCTGCTGCTGTTTCTGTAGCAAAGAAAGTTAGTTGGAAACGCTGAAAACTTGAAATGTTTAAGCCAGTACAGAAAAAAAGTTTTGGGCGCTAAATTTTGGTTTTTATAGCAGTCTACCTAAGCGACTAATAAGTTTTTCTAGTTCCTCTACTTGTGCAGTTGTTTTTGCTGCATTTTTATATTGGAATGGATTACGAACTTTCCAAGTTCTTGTTTGGAATATTTGTCTTATTTGGAAATACAGTTTCTTCAGCCATGAATGTCTTCTGAAGTACCAGCAGCTTTCATTTGATAGTATTATTCTTTAAGCCAAACAATTTTAATTTATTGAAGTAGAGTAAACGAGGAAAGCGACAACAAATTCTGTATTAATTCAGTTCAACCGTACTATTTTTTCTGTTTGGCGTTTAGAAGTTTCTTAGAGGCTATTGCTAAGCTTATTTTCTATAATACATTTTTAAAAGTACTTCTTTATTGTTTGAATGTTTCAAAGGTTAATTTGGACTTTTTGTTAGGCTATAATTGAGGAAGATTTTTTTGCTGTTTGTTAGTGGATGAAAAAAGTGCTGAAAGACAAGTTTGGGACCGATGGTGACTTAATCAGCCAATTAGGGGATGAATTAGAAAAGAAGACAATTTTTCAAAGTGTTTGCAGTAATTTTGAAAGTGCTAATAATTTATTTATTTTTTTCACTTATATTTTTAATTCAGGTAATTTTGATCGAAGTCTTTATTTTGTTTTATTTTTTTCTGTCATTGTCAGTTTTTGCAACTGGTGTTTGTTTATGGTTTAGGCGAAAAGAGGGTAATGCAAAAACACGGGCAGAAGAGTAAGTTACATTTTGGAAGTATGTAAAGAGCTGATAAGTGGATGCAAGATTAGTACAATTAATATAGAATGATATAAACGAGATTAGAAGCAAAGCTGCAAATATGTTTTGATAGACAATGGAAAATTTGGAAATGAATTTTTTTTGTCAAAAATTATAGTTGGAAAGAAGTTTTTTTTCTGAAGACTTTTTGAAGGGGATTGAAAAAAAATTTTTTTGATAGATTTGTAAATAGAGCAGACTTCATATGTAGGCTGAGGATTGACAAAGTCGTAGATGTAGAGGCGAGCAGGCAAAAAGAGAGTATGTTGAAGGAAGATGTTTTTTGCGAGTATTTCTTTCTACGGTGGGACATTAGATGAGCTGCTGTTGTTGTTGCCGCTACTGCTGCTGCTACTGGCGATCCCGATGATGCTGTTGGTACTGCTACTGCTACTGCTACTGCTATTGCTACTGGTCGGGTAAAAGTGAGTTTTCGGGATAGAATTTCTCATGTTCTTTCAGAGTTTTTAAACTGGAAACACAAACGGACAAGCAGCTTGCTTTGTAATCTGATTTTGTTGTTCGCCTTTAAAAGAATAATGAAATTTGAGGAGAGGCATGCGAAGTTTACTGCTGCCAAAATCAATCTTCATTTTGGCTTTTACTTCGTTTTATTGCAGTTTCGGTGACAAATGCGACTCTTATAGTCTTAACTCTTTTGGCGTTGTTTTTTTTTTTTCACTTTGTTCTACTTTCTTCGTTTGCCTTCAATTCAAATTTTTTTCGGCAGATATATTTTTGCGCTAACTTTTTATCCGTCATTATCTTTTTTTGTTTGGCATTGTCATCGATATCACCATTATTTTTAATATTACTGTCATTATAATAATAAGTATTATTTCTGTTATCATTAATTTTTTTGTTATTGTTATTATTATCGTCATTATTATGACTGTTAATTATACCATTTTCTCCTATAAATGTTGCTGGTGTTATGGTTATCGTTTGTTTTTTTTTCTTCCTCTGGTTCAGGTTTCAGTAATATGTTGCAAACAGTGAAAATTGTGCTTTTTTTGTCCTGCTGGATGGTCTTTTCAACTGGGTTGTTGAATAAAAGCTGAATATATGACAGTGTAAGGAGGAAACTAAATGAGCGTAAACTAACAGGACTGAAAATTTTTCAGACAGGTTGATTTGGTTTGATAACAGTGATTTTCTTCAAAGCAGGCAGGTTGATTCACAGAGAAACCAAAATAGCGCACGATGCTTCTGTTGCTATCAGTAAAATTTTCGTCGGTGATAAGACGGTGAATAACCTCAAAAAAACTTCATTGTTTTTTAGCCAGTCTACCGTAGGGCTTTGGATGATTGTGCATTTGATAATGTTTGAAGATGAGTGAACCATTTGATTTCTAGGTTTTTTGGCTCAACGTTTTGTTTGTATGTGTTTTTTTCCTCATTTCTTTTGTTTTGCCTAATTTTTCTTCGTCTTATTGCAGTTGCAATATTACATCTTAGAAGAAGAGGTTTCAAGCACAAAACAAAAAAAAAAAACTAAATTGTGTAACCGGATATGTTTCTATATGTATGTGTGTGCGTCAATTTTTCGACGTTGTTTTATTGTTTAGTGTCGTTGTTAGTCCAAAATGATAGCCAAATATATATAT